TATATATATATATATACATATATATATACTATCATACATACATATATATTACAGTTGTAATATTTGTAATGTATAGCACTAACATACCTTCCTTGAAAATATCTCAAATCAGTCATGAGAGATTCATAATAGCTGCTAAATCGCTCTGATTTACAAATTATATCCAGTATTACTCTGCCCGCGATGCTTCGTGACTTTCCACAAACAACCAACTGATATGAAAAGGACGCAAATTGGCACAATGCGTGTACTCATGGATCGATTAGCCACAACTCTATAAAGCACGGTGTGTTCGTGACACCATGTTCAAAGCGTTGATCAGGTCGTGGAGAATGTTTGCTGTATATTTCCTGTCCACCAGATCTTTTCATAATTATAGCATTCTAATTTTTAAGAAACATCGTAGAAATTTACATGGCAACTTTTTAGCATATAATTCAGATCTGCAATTACAAATCACACATTAATGGTTTGTACATAATTATGTACACGTGATGGACAACAGTTAGTGAAATACATGTGTAAATATCTTTATATTGTATTTAAAATAAGTGAAAGCTCAGGCATCTGGTAAAATAACATGGTTTTTAATTCTACAAGATGCTTGCTTTGTCAAGGTTGATGACAAAGCACAGGCTGTACACACAGAGAGAAATACATCTTCGATTGCCAGTACAGTCTGTTACTGGCTTCGGTAAGCACTTGTGACTTACAATAACAGAGCTTTGGAGTGTCCACATTGGGCTGCATCTCAGCATTGAGGCTGTATAACAACTGCGACCAACGTTTACACAGCTAGTCCCATGTTTTACCAAAACGGACATGGATTGACCAGCTATTGAGTACCAGTAGGGGGTTGGGACTAAGGTTTGAGTTGTTTACTTGAAGTAACAAAAGTGATATGTACATGTAAAACTTGTCGGTGAAATGCGATTAGTTCGTTATTATCTAGGTTTGCTGAGCTATGTTTAAAAGTTAAACGCAACAAAAACAGTTCCGCCCCCAACCCGCATATATATATATATATATATATATATATATATATAGATAAATATAGATATATATAGATATATATATAGATATATATATGTATACAGTGTAGGAAATAAAATGTTACCGGATAAACAATGATTGGTGAAACAATCAAAGCACTACTTTGTATTCGTTTATTAATCGCCGATTTTCATACGATGTGCATTTAAAAGCAGATAGTGCTTATATATATATATATACAACTGTACATACAACTGTATTACAAGTGTAATTACAACTATACTTACT